TCCCCAGCCTTCCCTGGTTTTATATGTGATGATAATTTGATTTTTACTTATTTTCTTTTGAGTTACTAACACCTAAAAGTAATCTATAGCCCATTAAAAGTTTCATTATTCTTTAGATAAAGAATATAAACATTGTAATGAAGAACCAAAATCATGTCTGAAAAATTAAGTATGAGGATCATTGTAGAACCTGGCACCTCAATCAATTTCCTTTTCTCAAAGCTTTAAGATGCATAATTAAAAAGAGATTAATCTTTAGCCATTATTTTTTATGAAAAGGTTTTAAATTGTCCATTTTATATTTGTTCGTATATCTCATGTGGTACAGTGTAAGAATTAAGGTGAAGGAACAAACTGCTGGGATTGGATTCCTGTTTTACCTTTTTTTTTGGAGACAAGATTTTGCTACATAGGGTGGCTATAAACACTTTGTAGCCCAGGTTGGCCTTGAACTTGGAGCAGTCCTCCTGCCCCAGCTTCTGAGTGGTGTGATTACTGGTATCACACTTGGCAATGCCATTTCCTAATGGCATGAGTTTAAACAGGTTATTTACCTCTGTATGCTTCAGTTTTCTTACCTGTAAGAAGATAGGCTGATTTTTGAAAAATACAAAGTAAAATACCTGGCTCATATAAGATCTCTCTATAAGGATTAAATGCTCTTTTTGAGTTAGTATCTGGTAGTCCCTTTAGTTCACAAAAATTATAAATTTGGAATAAATTTGGCAAGGTAAGGATGAAAGCAATGAATCACCACCCGCTCTTGTCATAGCTCCCCCAGCCCTCAGCCCTCACTGGGGAGCTAACCCAGGGCTCTACGCTAGGGAAGAGCTCAGGCTCTGAAGCCCACCCCTCTTCCCATAGCTTAAATATAAATCCATTTTTTACCTAGAAATAGTAAATATCTCAGCAAGAAAATGCTGATTTTGTTACAGGGCATCTTTTCAAACTGAAAGTCAATGACTTTCCTGAATACTTTCAAATCTCATTTAGTATGATATGCAGTTTTAAGTTATTAAAGAGGTACTTTATATTGTAGAACACAAAAAATTGAATTTTCTTGTTTTTATTCAACTATTGAGTACAGGTAAAATTGTTATGTAATGTGTTTTCATTTCTTCTACCTTATAAAAGAGCCTTAAGTTTGGTAATGATGAGTCATTTATTTTGGTATGAAGCTAAATTTTTATCAAAAGTGTTTTTGGAGCATGTTTATATATTTATCTTAATAATTGTATGATTGTGCTTCCAATCAAAATTTTACCACATTGTTTAGTTCACAAACAGGAATTTGGTTATAAATTTTCAACTTTATTTTCCCTGAGCCTGTTTTAATATGACAATGATTATGACAGTGGCTTGGTGAATATGACAGTGATTAATAGAAATGAATTTTACTGTGAACATTCCCAGAAGCTCTGATTTTTCTGTAGCTGAAAAACAAACATTTCTAAGAACGACAAATCCTTCCATTTGAAGGCTTCAATGTTAATATGCAACCACTGCATGAAGATAACATGTCTGCCTCCCCTTTCTGAGCGTGTGGTAATCTCTGACCCTTCTCTTCCCCAGCAATCTTCAGGGGTTTTTTTGCAGCAGCCTTTATGGAGTTGCATTAATATACGCACCTATTTGATTCAGGCTCTATCATGACTAAAGATTTATGGCCAGGAGTGTAGCGAATTTGTAGTATATTTTTTATGCATAAAACTGACTGACTCATTTGGAAAATGAACTCTAGTCTTGGATCACTTTTTGAAACCCATGTTTTCATCAGCTGGGCTAAGTGTTAAATGCCTAGATCCTAAGTGAATTAACATGTCAGAATTTTTTCTAAGGTACTATATTATATATGTGGCATATGTAAACCTAAGACTTATTTGTGGCACATGTAAAGTCAGAAGTATTATTGAAGGTGAGGCAGAATAGAAAAGAGCAGTAAGATTTGTCTCATTTTAACCATGTGCATGTATTATTTGAGATAAATGTTTAGTACATTCACAGTACTAAAATACTCTTCTAAATAACAATTCTAAAAGATGAGACTCAATAAATAAATGTGGCATAGAAAGCCTTCGATCCTTTATTACTATAGGTGTGCTGTTTCAATAGAAGTTTAACTCCTTTTAAGAAAGGAGAAAACCTGTTTTAAAGATGGAAGGAGAGTTATAAATTTAAGAATAATTTTTCTTTTTTTATTTCAGCTTTACCAGCAGGGACGATTATGTCAATTGGGTAGTGAATTTTGTGAATTGGAAGTCTTTGCTAAAGTATTGAGAGCTTTGGATAAAAGGTAAGTTTTTTTAAAAAAAAAAAAACCGTGGCAAAATATATACAACATTTAACCACATTTAAATGTACAATTCAGTGATATTAAATACATTTGCCTTGTTATGCAACAATAAAAACACTGTCCACTTACAAGATGTTTTTATCATATCAAAGAAAAACTGCCCATTAAGTGATCACCTCCACCTTCCTCCTCCCCTGACTGCTATAAGCACCATTTTGCTCCGTGTGCATTTTAATACTCTAAGTGCAGCCATTTAAGTGGAAGCTGGTAATGGTTGTCTATTTGTGTTGGTTTTATTTCATTTAACATAATCTTTTTAAGGCTCATCAAAGTGGTAACGTGTTAGAATTTCTTTTTTATTCCACATTGGAAATTAAAGGAGCCGGGAGACAGCTCAGAGGCACAGTGCCTGCCTGGCAAGCATAAGGTCGTGAATCTGATTCCTGGTTTAAAAAAAAACAACTGGGGCTGGAGAGATGGCTCAGTGGAATAAGTGCTTCTATGGTGAGCACAACGGCCTGAGTTCAATTCCCAGTTCCGCCAAAAAAAAAAACAACAAAAAAACTGAAGGTCTTGTTCGTGCTGGACAAGGTCTCTACCACTGAACTCGTACCACTCCTGCCTTCATTTCTATACAAAGCTAAATAATCATATATGTGCTACATTTTGGTTATCCATCTGTCAGTGGGCATTTGAGGTATTTCTACCATTTGGCTAATGTAAATAACACTTCTGTCAACATAGACATACAAATAACTCTGAATCACTGCTTTTTTTTTTTTTTTATTTTTTTTTAGGTTATATATACCAAATAGCTGGGTCATATGATAATTCTGTTTTCAAGTGTTTGAGAAACTGCTGTCCTGTTTTCCATAAATTTAAAGTAGCATTTAGTTTTTAGTATTTCATTTTGCTTATTTTATTATTTTTTTGGCAGAACCTGGGATTGAACTCAGGCACTTGCGCTTGCCAGGGAAGCGCTTATTTTCCACTGAGCCATCTCCCCAGCCCCTCATTTTGCTTATTTTAGATAATTAGGCTTACATAGTATATGCTCTTCTTAGTCACTACGTCGCCTTCCCACTAGGTTCACTGTATTTGTTTTAGATGGATTCATATGGTGTATACTCTTGGGTGTGTGGATTTTGTTTGCTTACTCAATATTATAAGAATCACTTTTGTTGCACTTTGTTCATTTTCATCATAGTGCATATGTACAGTGCTCTGTTCCATATCATTATTCAGTTCTGTTAATTTTGAACAGTTGAATTGTTTCATTTGTAGCTATTATAAATAGTGCTAGCCCACAGGTATGGTGGCACATACTCATAGTCCTGGCTTGTGGGAGGCTGAGGCAGGAGGACTGCCAGTTGGGCACCAGCCTGGACTGTAGCAAGACCCTGTCTCCAAAAGACCCAAAAAACAATCAAATAAATAAATAGTGCTACTGTGATTTTCCTTACACATGTCTTTTGGTTTTCACTTAGCAATAATTGAGCCTCAGATAAACTAAACCTCATTGGCTACGATACTGCTGCTGTGCAAAGTTCACATAGCTTTTGGTGAACATATATATATATATATTTATTATAGTTACCTAGAAGTATAATTTGAAAACATTTTTAAGAGTTACTAGCTAAAGTGATGCACAGAGAGCATATCATAAAGACTGTATAATGGTAATTATACAGTCCAAGCAAAGAAGCTTGGTGACAAAAAGGTAGAATTTGTTTATCCATCTTCATCTGTTTTGGACAGTTAAAATTCTGGCAGATTAGTTTTTTTAATTCAAGAAGGGAAGACTGAATTCACTTGCCCACTCTTAAGTATTATGAAGGTAGGAGCTACAGAGAGGTGGTCTGACCTTTGATTGTACTTGCTGTTCAGCCTTACATTCATCCCTAAATTTGCTTCCATTGCCATTTCTTTTTCCGAAGCCACACTTCTAAAAAAACTAAGAATATACTTTCTTACAATACTGCTGATCTCTGACTGTGGTCAAGTTGTTTCATTTGTTCAGCAGATTAAATAAATACTTGTTGAATGCCTGGTACTGTGTGTGCTAGGTACTGTTTTAACTGCCAAGACTACAGCAGTGGATATGAACTTCAAGGTCCCTTCATGATGAAGTCTGTATTTTTAGAGAGGGATAAGAAGATAAATGAGGGTCGGGGAGATGGCTTAGTAGAATAAGCACTTGCCTGGCAAATGCAAGGTTCTGAGTTCAATCCCCGGTACCAAAAAAAAAAAAAAAAAAAAAGAAGAAGAAGATAAATGAGTGAGTAAATGAATGTAGAATTTAAGGATGACTGAATGTGGCCTGTGTACTAAGACTAGAAAAATCTTTTGGTTTCTTGATTAATTAAAATTAATCTATATGGCCAGGTGTGGTGATGCATACCTGTAATCCCAGCACTCAGGCTGAGGTAGGAGGGTCACTGTGAATTGGAGGCCAGTCTGGGCTACAAAGTGAGTTCAAGGCCAGCCTGTTCTGCATAGCAAGACCCTGTCTCAAAAACCACAAAACTAACTAACTAAATAAGTTTATTTTTTTAAAAAGGTGAGAAAGTCTCAATTTTGGCAAGGGAAGACTATAAAAAAGCTTGCTAAATATTCTTTTTTAAAAAAGTTAGTTTTCTGTGATTTGAATGACTGCAGTTCTGAATATGGCTTTTTTAATAGGTTTAATGGAGGGGATGGGAAGTTAGCTCAGTAGAATAAGTGCTTGCCTGGCAAGCATAAAGGCTTGAGTTCAATCCCCAGTTCCGAAAAAAAAAAAGGTTTAGTGGAATACTTACCACTTTCATCTCTTAGTTTTTTGTCAAGTCCAAATCTTTGGCGATATTTGTGAGACTAAAAGCAAATAACTTGACTTTTTTACCCCTTTATCCAAAGCAGTGCCTCTGATTTACAGTTCTGTTTTTTAAAGATTTTTTTGAATTATAATTCGTATGACATAAAATTTGCCATCTTAAATTATAACACTCTAGTAGGTTTTAGTATATTTACAAGACTTTACTACCTTCACTGTCTTAATTCCAAAACACTTTTTTGCCCCAAAAGAAAACCAGTAACAATAGTCCTTGGAGCCTGAGTGACCATTAATAGTTACTTCTTGGCTGGGGAGATGGCTCAGTAGAATAAGCTCTTTCCTGGCAAGCACAAGGGCCTGAGTTCAATCCCTGGTGCCACAAAAAAAAAAATTATGTCTCTTGGATTTGCCTATTCTAGATATTTAACATACTTGCAGTCATACAACAGATGCTGTTTTTGTTGACCCTTTCATTTAACAAAACATTTTAGAAGATGTTTATTTCCATACTACTTTCTTTTTTGTGGTTAGATAATTTTCCACTGTAAGAATAATATTATGTTTTATTAATTCAGTCATCTATTGATGAATATTTGGGTTGTTTCTCCCTCTTTTTTGCTCTGGGGAATTGAACATAGGGCCTCACTATATCCCCAGCCCTTTTTATTTGGAGATAGTCATGCTAAATTATCCAGTCTGACCTCAATCTTAGGCTCCTACTATCTCAGCTTCCTGAGTAGCTGGGTTCAAAGACATGTACCAGTCTGTCCAGTTTGTCAACACTGTACAAAAAAAAATTATAGTCATTCTGTTGGGTATAAAGTAATATCTTACTATGATTTTGATTTGCATTTCCCTAATTGCTAATGATAATTAAGTATATTGTGTTGTGTTTACTGGCTGTTGATACATCTTCTTTGAATATTCCTGCCTCAGCCCTCCAGAGTAGCAGAGTGTACAGGCTTGCCCCACTCTACTTGGCTGCCTGTTTTAATTGGGCTGTCTTTTTATGATTGAGTTATTTTTTTTTAAATTTTATTCATTTGTGTGTGTGTGTGTGTGTGTGTGTGGCCAGCTCAGCCCACCAGGGGGCGCGGCTGGCTGGCATGTCGTGCTGGGGGATTGAACCGTGGTCCCTGTGCTTTTAGTTTGTTCTAAGTAGGTGCTTTAGACCACTGAGCCATCTTACCAGCCCTATGATTGAGTTATAATTGCTTTTTTAGAGCTGATATTTTAAAATTATCAGCTTTATCTTTTGTTTCTATTGGGTTACATAACCTGTGTAGTTTTCCTGAATATTATAGGATCATTGAGTGATGACCTCAGGAACGATAGCAGTCTAGCCCCCCCCCCCCATCAGGAATCAAACTCAGGACCTTGCACTTGCCAGGCAGGTGTCTGTGCCCTGAACTTGGGGCCTCTGCACTGAGCTACATTCCTATCATTTTTTTATTTGGACATGGTCTTGCTTGGCTCAAACTTACGGTCCTCTTTCTCAAGGTCCCAGACTCTGGGATTGTAGGTTTGTACCACTATACCATTTCAGGCTAACTTTGGAATTACCACAGTCTCATAACAGATAGGGCAAAAAAACTTATTTCATTCCATCTTGGAGAATAATGGTGATACTCTTTTACAAAGAAATCAGCGTTCTAAAAGGACAAAAGTAACATGTTTCTGTCAAATAATCCTTTCCTTCTCTTTCAGACATTTGCTTCATCATTGTTTTCAGGCTTTGATGGATCATGGTGTTAAAGTTGCTTCAGTCCTGGCCTACTCGTTCAGTAGACGGTGCTCTTATATAGCAGAATCAGATGCAGCCGTAAAGGAAAAAGCAATTCAGGTTGGCTTTGTTCTAGGTATGTAACATAAAGTATGGGAGAGTTTTGTCTTTTGCAGACTCAGAATTAAACCTGCTAATAAGCTGGATGTGGTGGTGCATGCCTATAATCCTATCACTCTGGAAGCGTAGGAGGATTGCCATGAGATAAAGGTACACAGTAACTATAAGGCCAGCCTAAACTATATAGCAAGACCCCTGTCTCAAAACAAAACAAAGCAAAACAAAATAACTTACTAACAATAAAGGATTCTTCTTTGAAGTCTCCCTAAGTCTATGTAGATAAGTTGTGAGAAAAGTATCAAAAGAACAAGCTGTGTGATGTGTTAAGTCTGTGCGAAGCACTACAGTAGGTATTTAAATGGTATCTTCCTAAATCCTCCTGACATTCCAGTGGACTGGTGGTGTTAACATTTTACATATGAGGAAATAGGCTCAGAAAAGTTGAGTAACTAGATCAATCACGTAGTAGTAAGCTGAGTTTAAAATCTTGTGTCTGTATGACTAAAAGTACATATCTTTCTACTATGTCATGCTACTGGCATCCTCTGTCACCTGCTGACTGTATGCTATGACACGGGACTGAAGACTTTTTAGGGCCTAAGTTTTCTCATCTCTTAATAGGGTTGTTCTGAATTTCTTTCTTTTTTTTTTTTTTTTTGGTGGAACCGGAGATTGAACTCAGGCCCTTGCACCTGCCAGGGAAGTTCTTATTCCATTGAGCCATCTCCCCGGCCCGTTCTGTATTTCTTCATAGGAGTGCTATGAGCATAGTGAAAACATGAAAGTTTTCTAGGCTACACATTTAAAAAGTGTTATTTACTGCATATGTAACATGATCTTCATATATTTATGTATGTAAACATAAGTGTGTTTCAGACCATTTAGTTTTAAAAGTTCTTGCAAACTTGATTTTTAATTTTTTTGCTAATTTTGAAATTATTGTAGAATCACAGGAGTTGTAAAAGAGTTACGTGGAGGGGCCAGGGAGATGGCTCAGTAGAATAAACGCTTCCCTGGCAAGCGCAAGGGTCTGAGTTCAATCCCTGGTTCTGCCCCCCCCCAAAAAAAAGTTATGTGTAATCCTTTGAGACATTCCTCCATCCTGTCCCAGTGGTGACCTACAACTGTAGGCTAGTATAAAAACCAGGAAATGGGGGCCGGTGAGATAGCTCAGCAGACTAAAGTGCCTGCCTAGGCAAGTGCAAGGTCCATGGTTTGATCCCCGGCACTGCATGCTGCTCTAGCCCCACCCTCAGGGCAGGCTGAACCTATAATCCCAGCACTCTGGAGGCTGAGACAGGAGGATTGCACAAACTCAAGGCCACCCTGAACTGCATAGTGAGACCCTGTCGTTAAAAAAGGATGGCCCCTGTAGCTGTAGATGCTTATGTAAAAATCTGTGTGGGACAAATTTAGTCTCAAGGCAGACGAGAGATAGGCAAGCTAGCATTCCTTGGGATTTTCTGTCACTTCACACATACCAGACTGGCTACTGTAATGAGGTAGAAATCTCAGAGATAGGGGTCGGAGAGATAGCTCAGAGACATGAGCACCTACCTGGCAAGCACAAGGACCTGAGTTTGATTCCTGGCCTCGCATGCCCTGTGGTCTCGGCCCCAGATCCCTAGGTGCACCATCTTGGCCCCAGATATGCAGGTGCGTGCGGACCAGAACCAGGCATGGTGGCCTGTGCTTATAATCCCAGCACTCTGGAGGTTGAGCCAGGAGGATTTCTGCAAGTTCGAGACCAGCCTGCAGGCTACAAAGTGAGCACAAGGCCAACCCAAATTACTCCATGGTGAGACCGTGTCTCAAAGAAAGAAATCTCAGAAAAACAGATCTCAGCAAACTTAGTTACATCATCAGTTTTAATCTTAAAATTACCACAACATGAGAATTTTATTCTAGAAGTGTAGTTATAATTTTTTAATGTAGCAACCTTATTAAGGTATAATTCATATACTATACAGGTGACCGATATAAACTACACATTTCAGTGATTTTTAGTAAGTACACAGAATTATTCAAATATTACCACAGTTAAGCTTTTAGAGCATTGTCATCACCACCCCAAAGAAACTCATACTTACTAACAGTCATTCTTCGTTTCCCTGCCACCCCAGGTCACTGTCAGTTTGTTTTGTTTCTGTAGATTTTGTGTGTTCCAGACATTTCACATGAATAGAATAAGAATATATGGGCTTTGTGACTGGCTTGTTCCATCTAGCATAATGCCTTAAAGGTCTAGCTGTTTCAAATTGTGGAAATAATCTAACAAATTTTTATCTGAGTATAAAGAACGAAAGACAAAAGGGAAAACTAGGGTATTTTTTGAATGGTACCACCTCCAAGGTGCTGATGCTGGTTTGGTACCACTACCCGTGAGCTCTGAAAGGGGGCCCCGTTGTACAGGGTCTGAGAGTTAGTGACTGGCTAGCTGTTCTGATGTTGCTGACCGGGTGCTGTGAAACTGGATTTATAAAACTGCAACTGGAAGTGACTATTGCTTACTGGAATCAACTGCCACTGCTAGAGGAAAGAAGCATACCCTGCGGTGTTCCTGTCTGCAACAGAAAGGCATCTTCCTTGCTCTTCGAGTCTTGCGATTCCTCTCTTTAGTGCAGAGCCTGACGGACAGACAGTAGGCTGCAGAGAAATGTGGCTTACAGAAGCGTTGCATCAGTATCAAAGAACAGTGTAGAGAGTAGATCTCAAGTCAAGAGACAGCCTAGCTTGGTAACCAGTTCTTCATGCAATATATTCTTAGTATAAACCACCTTTCTATTCTAGTCTTTTTGTGAGGGTCCTAGATTGTTACAAAGCACAATTCTCTTCAATTAATAAAAATATTTGTTTGATTATTTGTAACTTTAATTGACCACAAAACGTAACTGTAAGCAAAATGCAGTATTTTGTTGACTCAGATATTGTTGAGACAGAACTTCTCTGAGGTTCAGCCTCACCTTGAACTGACTATAGCCCAGATTTCCCTTGAACTCAGGGCAATCCTCTTGCCTCAGCTGAGTGCAGGATTTGCAGGCATGCAGCACCACGGACAGTTGACTTTGACATTAAGACATCATATTTATTGTACTATTGAGAAAAAACACTACCAATTAGTAGACAATAACCATCAGTTTTATGATCTTGTAAATCTGTTTGAGGGATTTTAAAATATAAAAAAAATGAGTGCTCTAGATTAAAGAAACATAGTCTGTTACTTTCTTTTCTGGTTATTTTTAGTCCATAGACAGTTCTTAGAGGGTCATAACTTACCTCCTTATTTAAGGCCTCATTCTTTTTTTGGGGCAGAACTGGGGATTGAACTCAGACCCTTGCTCTTGCCAGGGAAGTACTTATTCCACTGAGCCATCTCCTCAGCCCCTAAGGCCTCATTCTAATTCCTTCAATTTAAAAATTTTTAATAAAAATTTCACAATTAGTATCTTTCAAGTTTTCATTTATTTTTGATGTTGGGATTAGAACCCACAGCTGCACTAGTGCTTTGCTTATGTTTCTACCACTGAAGCTCAATTTCCAACTTCAGTCTCTACTTCACACTAAACATAAGGCTAATTCATAATATAGGGTTTCTAGTTTAGATAATGTTCATTATAAATGTGGCATTTTAGCTTTTAGCAATTTACTAAATAAAAGCTACCGGATTTTCTTGTTTGTCAGGTGGCTTCCTTTCAGATGCAGGCTGGTACAGTGATGCTGAGAAAGTTTTTCTGTCCTGCCTTCAGTTGTGTACTCTCCATGATGAGATGCTTCATTGGTTTCGTGCAGTGGAGTGCTGTGTGAGGTAAGTGGGCACAGAACCTGTAATTATGCACCTACCAGCTTGTGTAACTTTAGCTCATCTACTTGTACTCCAGCATTTGAGTAAATCTCAGCAGTCATGCTTACGTGTCATAGTTTCAGTAACTTAGCCTCTTCCTCCCACATCCAAAATGTAGTTAAATCTTTCTGCCTTTTCTTAGTCTATGTGTTCATGTATTCAATATGTATTAAATGCTTACATCCTAATAACTGTGAGGCAATGGATGATAAAAAAAAAAAATCCAAGTAATGAACTTTATTCTTGGATTTAGTTTTTCCTCTACATTTCCAGTAACTCTGCACAAGTTGAGTATTTTACTTATAAATGTTTTCCTTAAAAGTTATGTTTGTTTAGTAGATGTATTTAAAGGAAAGAAAGGTAAGTAGATCTAGAAGTATCTCCATGGATTTCTGGTTTTTTTGAGACGGGGTCACACCATGTAGCTCAGCCAAGCCTTGAACTCGCTATGTAGCCCAGGCTGACCTCAAACTCCTGGTGATCCTCCTGCCTTTGCCTTCCAGTCCCTACCTATCTCAGCTTTTGTTGTTCTTATTTTTCCTGCATACGTGACATGTAGCTCTAGCTGTTATGATACAGGCTTTTCCTCTTCTTCCCATTTTGACTTGGGCTGCCTGCCTTGTTGCCTGCCTGTCTGCCTGTTTTTTCTGAGGCAGCCTCACTGCATTCTCTCTCTCTCTCTCTCTCTCTCTCTCTCTCTCTCTCTCTCTCTCTCTCTCTCTCTTTCTCTCTTTGTTTCTGTGGTACCAGGGATGGAACTCAGGACCCTGCGCTTGCCAGGCAGGCGCTCATTCTACTGAGCTATCTCCCCAGCCCCCCCGCCCCCTTTTTTTTTGCACAGCCGGGGATTGAACTCATGCCCTTGCACTTGCCAGGCAAGCACTTACTCAACTGAGCTATCTCCCTGACCCTGCATTGCCTCTTTCATTCAGGTTGCTCTTGAACTTACAGTTCTTCTATATGCTTGAGTTGTATACCATTGTACTAGAATGATTTTTTTTTTTTTTTGGGGGGGGGTTGTTCATTTATTTAGGGTTTTGCTTTGTTTTGTTTTTTGAGACAGGGTCTCACTATATAGTTCAGCTTGGCCTTGACCGCTATGTAACCTAAGCTGGCTCACACTCACAGCAATCATCCTGTCTGCCTCCGCCTCCAAAGCTCTGGTCTTGTAGGTGTGTGCACCACCATGTCTGGCAGATATTTTAGAGGTGATTTAGTTAATTGCAACCACTTTTTCAGAAATGGAAAATACATTCTTCTATGAAACCATTTTTGACCTAAGCTTTTTTTTTATTTTTAATTTTTAAAAATTAATTTTATTGAGAAACAAAGAGCAATGAGATAGTTTCAAAACCGATTAGTAGGACAGTTTCAATCATTAATACATTGCATATTGTTGTCTTCGTAGTGGTTATTCATAGTACAAGATTGAGACTGATATCCTGTCCAAACACTATTAGTTCAAATCTTTCTTCTCATTGAATTAAATGAAAGTAGCTGTGTATCTATCCTGTTTTGTATATACAGATTCAAAATTGACCTAAGCTTTTGAGGAATATATTTGCCTTTTTTTAAATGCAAGACTTATCTAAAACATTCAAATCCTAAAGATGACTTTCTAATGTGCAAACTTAATTACAAATAATTTCTTATATGTTTTAGAAATACTGAATGATAAATTGCAGGATTGTATGCAGAAAAGGGATATTTGGCCCTATAAATTTTTTTTGTTTTTGTTTTTGTGGAACTGGGGATTGAATTTAGCCCCTTGCGCTTGCCAGGGAAACGCTTATTCTACTGAGCCATCTCCCCGGCCCCTCCTATAAATTATTATGCTCATAAAAATAGTTTGTCATCTTTTTTCTTTTGCTTACCAGACTTTTTTATTTTTTGGTACTTGGGATTCAACCCAGGGCATTTGCACTGAAGTATGTCCCTAGTTTATTTGGAACAGAAAAGACTCTAGCATTATCTTTTCATGTGTGTTTGGTCTTTATTCACCAAATCCGATGATTTATTTTGCCCAGATACTTGTTTCTTCTAATTTTAAGGCTACTATATAAATTTTGCCTTAGCCTAACCCAGAAGTTAATTTTGTTGCAGGATCAAGGCCCTTTCCTTCCTAGTTCATCTTCTTTAGCTATACATTGATACTTCAGCTCACAAACTGCTTTCCATGATTCTGGCTGCAGAATCCTTCCCACTATTCTGGTCGCAACCGAATTGCAAGCATATGCTCATATCACTGTAGCCCCTGTCCTTAGGCTTGCAAGAGTGCTGGCAGAGATTAGGGAAGGGCAAAGACTAAGGGCAGCTGAGTCTCCTTTTTTTCTTTTTTAAACCCAGGAAAAAAACAGCCTTCCCAGAAGCCTAATCCTGTTTGCCTGTTTTTTATACCATGACACATCCTGTATATCTTTCAATCCATATGAGATACTCTAGGAATAGGACTTTTAAAATTGTACTTAAAGTCCTGCTGCCTTGAAGGAACTGAGAAGTCTACATTAAGAAAGAAATGAAACTGGCAGGAATGGGGAGATAGCTCAGTGGTCTAAGCGCCTGCCTGGCAAGCACAGGGTCCCAAGTTTGATCCCCAGTACTGCATGTGGGGCCTGCCTTGGAACCCCAGGTGCACCATACTGTCCCCAACAACACACACCTGTAACCCCAGTGCTGGGGAGGCTGAGACAGGAGGATCATTATGAGTCCGAACTATGTAGGGAGACCCTTATCAAAAAAAAAAAA